CGCTATTGTCAATAAAGTACAGAGCCGCAACAAGGTCCTCAAGTCGCTAGCCGGCAGTACTTGGGGCAAAGACAAAGAAACGTTGCTGGCAACATACAAGGCAATAGGCCGGCCGGTTTTAAACTACGCATGACCAGTGTAGTCGCCGGGGACTAGTAGGACGCAGTGGACGAAGCTACAGACGGTACAAAACACAGCACTTAGGACAGCAACCGGATGCCGGACGACTGAGATACCAACCGTCCTGGGCGGGGTTGTTGTAGCCGCTACAACAACAACAACAACCGGATGCCTCCTGATGTCACCAGAACACCACCTCCACGATGAGGCGAAAATGCTCCCAATTAGGGAGCACAACACGATGCTCTGCAAGCAGTTTCTGGTTGGGAGCCACAGATGTGGCTACCCAAATAGACAGCTGCTTGCAGAGGAGCCCTCGCCGAGCCACGTTAGGAGGCATCTATATGAACTGACGGACAAAGTCCAGAGGTTCATCAAGCAGCCTCTGGACCCATCAGCTTACAGACAGGCCCTGAACGGCATTCACAGGGACGCAGTCTCGAGTTATGTAGACTCAAGACCTGTGAATGCCGTTCTAGGCACACAAACACCGGACATTGACGCGACGGAGCTCCATCTGCCTCGGGAGACCAGAACAACAATAGCCCAACTTCGCTCTGGCTACTGCAGCAGGCTAAACTCCTACCTGAGTAGGCTAAATGCGGATGTGCCGAACGAATGTCCGGCATGCGGAGAGACCCCTCACGACTCGAAACATCTCTTCGCATGCCCGGAAAACCCCACAACCCTAACGGCGACGTCCCGTTGGACAGACCCCATAGAGGCTGCACGCTTCTTGGGGCTGCCGTTAGTGGAACTCGACGACAACGACTGAGATATCAGCCGATCTGGGCGGGGTTGTTGTAGCCGCTACAACAACAACAACAGGAAGACAATACCTGTAATTATTGTACCATGGTTTGAAACCTACTTTTTTATTTAAAGTGGCATTTTTATTTCTTCTCTATGTCCGCAGGATTAATTTTGTAGAATTTTGTAATTTCAAGGATATGATTAATTCCATAAATTATTAAAAAATTTAATGCAATATAGAATAAAAATGTGGGTAACAAATGCAATAGAAAATTTCTTTAGGATTTAAAACATTTAAATTTTTTGGATTCACCAGGACGAATAGGTAATTTTTAAGCTGTCAAAGTTAGAAGAACCAAATTCGAACAAATATTGCAAAATTTCAAGGATAAAATTTTAAAATGACATTTTCAATATTTACCAGCCCTTCTGCACTAGAAACTTGAATATGTTTAAATTCTCATTAATTTTATACCCATACTTCTTCTCTAAGCACATTTCTCTGAATTTTTCAAATCATTTTTGAATTACTGTCGTCAGAGTGAAATACTAAAAACGCAATTTTACTATATTTGGCCCATGGTTTCGCGAATATATTGATATTTTGATTAAAATTTACCATCGCGCGGTGTTATATGTACAATGAGCTGGGCATTTATAAAAATATATTAATTATTAAATAAAACAAGAAATATAGCCAATACTGGTCAAGAAAAAGAGTTTCTATTATTGCCATCAGTGCAAATTACAAATCGTGAAAATCCCGGGATTACTTGCCAAGAATCCCGGGATTTTCGAGACCTTAAAAAGTCCGGGCTCCCGGAATCCCGGGATTAACATTCCTAGTGCGCACGTACTTAACGATGACTCGTTTGCAAACAGCCTAGACTGAGGCGCGGAGAATTGAGAATACTCAAAGCAATGAGCAAGTGAGGGCGGGAATGAGGAAAATACTAACCCTGCATGTAATATCTGTAAAAATGTCGCTAAAACGGCAGTACTGCATCTTAGAATAATTGTTCTTAGTCAGACAGAAACCAATTGCATTAAATGGCGATTGCCATTTTTATGTAATTTATCTCCAGGGAACGGATTTTTAGGACCTAAAAGCCTATAAAAAAGGCAAAATAAAATAACGAAATAGGCTGGAAAAGGCAAAATAAAATAGCGAAAAAGGCAGGAAAAGGCACTAGGTGTTGCAAAAAAGGCAAAAAATGGCAAAGCAAAATAGCGAAAAAGGCAGGAAAAGGCACTAATTATTGCAAAAAAAGCAAAATAAGGCACTAAAAAGACAGAAAATACGAAGAACCATCAAAAAATACATTCATTTAGAAATGTTTATATTACAAGTAAAAATAGAAAAACTATGAACTAGTTTCATTATATGAAAAATTTGTACTTTGAATCTTTGACTATTTTATCCTTTCGGGTTTCTAACTCATAAAACTTTAATCTGTATAGTTGTAGTAACATTGAACCCCAAGATGCATTTTGGAGTTTTCAGGCAGCATTTTCATTAGATTTTCGCGAAGAAAAGCCTTGAATATACTAAATGTGTGCTCGGCGTAAGTTGATACAAGCGGCGCCCAATTTAAATATGGAACGTTTGAAACGTTCATATTATCAGGAAGAAGGGCGTTTTCCTCGCCCTTTATAATTTTATCCACACCCCTTATTGTCTCCAAGCCTTCATTAGCTGACAAAACGGCTTTGAATTTTTCCAACACCAATTTGGCAAGAGGTCTCTGCGCTTCCATAAGCCGCATGGGCAATGTGTATATTTTTTAATCTTGAAAAAAAAATTGTAAATGCTATAATAACTTTTTTAAAGGTAGAAAAGGTAAAAAAGGGCAAATATCTTAAAAAAGGCAAAAAAAGGCAACATCAAATGTGTATATATGGAATCAGGGAAAGCTAAATCGTGGACATACTTAATCGAATATACTCTATCTCTTTAGCAGAAAAAAATGCAATTTCCATAAAATCCGTTCCCTGTTTATCTCCCTCCTATACGTACAAGCTGCAGTTTTTTTAGCTTGGTATGATTAATTTTACTTGATGATATAGTATTTTATTTAAGATATTTACCTCCCCTTTTCTTAAACAGTTTCCAAGATTATGTTTGTTTGTGTTGGCCAAAAGAGTACAGTGATGATAAGCATTTGGATATCCCAGTTTTGCAGCAGTCCCAGAAAGCTATGAATGAAAAACAAGAAAAACGTTAGTTGTATTTAAAGACTAGCGTTCCCTAAAATATTCACCTATATGCTCCAGTACAAAATTGCTTTATGGAATCGAATTTCAAAAGCGCGGCCCTAGTCTACGAGATAGATTTCATTTTAAATATTTCTATAGGATTTATGACCTTGAAGAGTTGATTTAAAAAAAAATATTTCAAAATTTAATACTAGTACCTTGTGTTTGGCGCTCAATTTAGATATTTAGAAGAATTGCTAAATATATTTATTTGGTAATCAACTATTTCTGACAACTTTACTTCTTCTTCTTCTTTTTTGGCGCTGTAACCGCCTAAGCGATTTTGGCCGAGGTCAGCAAAGCACGCTAGTCGTTTCTCCTCTGTGCCAACTGACGCCAATTGGAAACGCCGAATGAAGCCAAGTCCTTCTCCAACTGATTTTTCCATCGCAGTGGGGGCCTCCCTCTTCCTCTGCTACCACCAGCGGGTTCCGAGTTGAATACTTTCAGAGCTGGAGCGTTGTTGTCCATTCGAACGACATGGCCAAGCCAGCGGAGCCGCTGTATTTTAATTCGCTGCACTATGTCCATGTCGTTGTAAAGCTCATACAGCTCGTCGTTCCATCGACTGCGGTACTCGCTATCGCCAACGCGTAAAGGCCCGTAATCATCCGCAACATCTTTCTCTCAAACACTCCAAGAGCCGCCTCATCAGATGTTGTCCTCGTCCATGCTTCTGCGACATATACTAGCACGGGCATGATGAGTGACTTATAGAGCGTGGTTTTCGTACGTCGAGAGAGGACTTTACTCCTGAATTGCCTACTCAGTCCAAAGTAGCACTTGCTGGCAAGAGTGATTCTGCGTTGGATATCAATGCTGACATTATTATCGGTGTTAATGCTGGTTCCCAAGTAAACGAAATTCTCTACTTTCTGGAAATTGTAACTGTCAACAGTGACGTGGGTGCCAAGGCGCGAATGTGCTGACTGTTTGTTTGATGACAGGAGATACTTCGTCTTGTCCTCGTTTACCACCAGACCCATTCGCTTTGCTTCCCTATCCAACTTGGAAAAGGCAAAACAGACTTCGCGGTTTTTGTTACCGATGATGTCGATGTCATCGGCATAAGACAGCAATTGCACGCTCTTGTAGTAAATTGTTCCTGAGCGGTTCAGTTCTGCAGCTCTTATTATCTTCTCCAACATCAGATTAAAGAAGTCACATGAAAGGGAGTCGCCCTGTCTGAAACCCCGTTTTGTGGCGAACGGCTCGGAGAGGCCTTTCCCAATTTTGACGGAGCTGGTGGTATTGCTCAACATCATTTTACAAAGCCGTATGAGTTTTGAGGGGATGCCAAATTCAGCCATAGCGGGTATAAGCAACTCCTTTTACTACTGTCAAAAGCGGCTTTAAAATCGACAAATAGGTGGTGAGTGTCGATCCTTTTCTCGCGGGTCTTTTCCAAGATTTAGCGTATTGTGAATACCTGGTCTATGGTGGATTTGCCAGGTCTAAAGCCACACTGATAAGGCCCAATCAGTTCACTGACGGTGGGCTTCAGTCTTTCACACAATACGCTCGGTAAGACCTTGTAACCTATGCTTAGAAGGCTGATCCAGCAGTAGTTGGCGCGAATGGCGGGGTCACCTTTCTTGTAGATTGGGCAGAGCACACTTAAATTCCAGTCGTCGGGCATGCGTTCATCTGACCATATTCTGCACAAGAGTTGATGCATTCACCTTATCAACCCCTCGCCGCCGTACTTGAATAGCTCAGCTGGCAGGCTGGCAGCTGCAGCAGCTTTGTTGTTTTTCAGCCGCGTTATTGCTATACGTACCTCGTCATAGTCAGGCGGTGGAGCGTCGACTCCGTCATCATCGACTGCGGGCTCGGGTTCTTCTTCTCCACAATTTTCCGTGCTGCTACCATTTAGTAGTGCGGAAAAGTGTTCCCTCCATAACTTAAGTACGCTCTGTACATCGGTTACTAGGTCGCCATTATTGTTCTTACAGGAGTACGCCCCGGTCTTGAAACCTTCCATAAGTCGCCTAACTCACTGGTAAAATTTTCGGGCATTCTTCCTGTCGGCCAGCATTTCAAGCTCTTCGCACTCACGTATTTCGGCCTCTCTCTTCTTACTGCGGCAAATACGTCTCGCTTGCCTCTTCAGATCCCTATAGCGGTCCCACATAGCGCGCGTTGCGCCCGATCACAGCGTGGCCCTGTAGGCGGCATCTTTTTTCTATGCAGCTTCCTGACACTCCTCATCGTACCAGTTGTTCTTTCGGGCTCGCTGAAATCCGACTACTTCTTCGGCCGCGGTACTTAATGAGCGGGAAAACTGCTCGCATATGTCGGTTTGTTAAAGAGTGCTCTCTGAGAGCAGGTGTGAGAGTCGAGTAGCGAAAGCGCTGGCTGTCTGTTGTGATTGCAGCTTTTCGACGTTAAGCTTTCCTTGCATATTTGGGAGCACGTTTCTTGCTGCACAGAGGCGGGTGCGTATCTTGTCTGCAACAAGATAGTGGTCCGAGTCGATGTTTGGGCCTCGGAGTGTGCGTACGGTTTAAACACTGGAAGCGTGTCTTGCGTCTATCACAACATGATCGATTTGGTTTCTCATTTTTCGATCCGGAGACAGCCACGTAGCTTGATGGATCTTTTTATGGTTGAACCTAGTACTGCATACTATCGTGTTTCGGGCCCCGCCGAAGTCGATCAGCCTTAATCCGTTGTCGGACGTTTCGTCGTGGAGGCTAAATTTTCCGACGGTGGTTCCAAAGATCCCTTCCTTGCCCACCCTGGCATTGAAGTCGCCAAGCACGGTTTTAATAACATGACGGGGGCAGCGCTCGTACGTGCGCTCCAAGCGCATCCTTCTCTTCCGTCGGGGCATGGGCGCAGATGAGCGAGATGTTGAAGAATCTCGCTTTGATGCGGAGTGTGGCTAGACGCTCGTCCACCGGGGTGAACGACAGTACTCGGCGACAGAGTCTCTCTCCCACCACAAATCCAACTCCGAATTTGCGCTCCTTTACATGGCAGCTGTAGTAGACGTCGTAAGGCCCCAGACATTGCTTGCCTTGCCGCGTCCAACGCATTTCTTGGATGGCGAGGATGTCAGCTTTTGTCCTTACGAGGACATCAACACGACGGGCAGAGGCACCTTCCCCATGAAGGGTCCGGACATTCCAGGTGCATGCCCTCAAATCGTAGTCCTTTAAACGTTTGCCGTGGTCGTCATCATAAGGGGGGGCCTCATCCGAGGCTTTGCCTTGCTTCTTCACTGGAAGTGGTTTTTACGTGGCGGGTCCCAAACCCAGCGCACAACCCATTGCTGGGACGGGGGTGGTTTCGCAACCAAATACACGTTTATATAGCGAGCCGCTTGCTCCAAGCAGACACCCGCTTGCAGCCGCACCTACTGGTGAACAGACGCTGCAGACTTCAGTGAGCCCTTAAACCGAATAAGCCGGAGTGGCCCCACCGAAGCTCCCTCTCTCTCTGCCGTAACCCAAGGCTCCACTCGGATTGGTTACCGCATCTTGCACATGGGTATGGGGGTATAGCCATGCAACTGTAACTGCATACCCAGAGCAACGACTATACCCCACTGCACTCCAACACAACTTTACTGAGTGCATTAAAAACTAAAAATACGCTTTTATTACAACGTGATCTAAAAAGTAAAAAATTATTTATGGGGATAAGGATTTCGTTTAAGAGGAATAGAAAGCTCCCTAACTTTATTTAGTTTAGCTTTTTAAACTAGCTTAAAATAGGATCATGGGGATCAGAGTGTCCAGATTTGACGATTTCGCGCCAATTTGGTTTTTTTTTGGATATTTGCGCGTAAAAATTTAGGAAATCGCCATTGGCGATTTTTGGAGATTTTTTTCCATTCAAATAAATTTTTCCAATTATAAAAATATACAAAACTTAGTTTTCCACGATAATTTCACAGAAGAGGCTAATGAACGTGATAAACTTGACTTAAGAAGCATATTAAAAACTCGAAGAACTTTTAACATGATTAACAAGTCAATTAATTACTTTTAAAAAAGCTATGATTTTGTCAACAGAAAAGTGTGTGAATCACAAGAGGGCGAGTTTCAGGGACCTGCCAATTCACTATTTGACTTTGAAGAAAAGAAAAGCAGCGGAAACTGAATATTTAAATCTTTAACTTTCCCATGGAATAACCTTTTTCAGAACCATTCCATCCGACTGTGAAGCATTTTGGATAATTGCTTACGGAGTGAAAACAGTAACAGGCAATAAAATGTAAGTAAAGTAGCTTCGATATTATTATCCTTGCCGCACTCACATGCTTTTGTTGAGCGCGTTTTTTTCCGTAACGAGTTTAACAAAAACTAAGATTCGAAATAGGATGAGGTTGGAAAGCCTTATTTCAATAGTTCGAATAAAGTGTTATATGAAGGCTAATAGTTTCTGCTGCAAAATGTTTCCAATATCAAGCTGTATGTTATCAAGGTTGAATAGCTCAATATATGACACCAACAGAGATGTAAATGAGTCATCTCTCCTTACACTGTGGAACAAATTCAGGTTAGCAAAAGTTAGGTCGATTCTGAGAGTGAGGGGTGAAAATAGAGCCAAAATTAGAAGACCCGTATCGCGGCGTTCGTTTATGTTAGTTCGAATTTTTTTTTAATCGACCTTCGAACTTTGCAGTCAAATGCCGATTTTCAGCATATTGTTTATAGGGTTTTTTGGCTATAACTCGTCGACTAATTGATATTTTTTCAATCTGTTAAAGCCAAATTATTGATAGAGACCTGTGCAAAAATTAAAATTTTTAAAAAAATTTATTTAGAAATTTTTTGTATGAAGCAAAATGTTGAAATTTTTTTCATGCTTTTTGAACATATTTTCCACAAAACTAAGTCTTTTTTGCTTCCTGTTTGAACTATAATATGCTTCTCAGTTTCTTCAATAAATTTCATTTGAAAAGAAAACAATCATAATACAAAACTTGC